GGGTTGCACGCCTGCAACGAGATGTGTACTGACAGTGAAATCTACTTTTATTTTCATTATCCGTGTTAGAGTTAATTTATTTATGTTCCTATTATTCTCCTGCAATTCTGTATTATCTGCTATCCCCGAAGCATGTCCCCCCTCCCATTTAAAATGTTTATTCTTGTTATTTTCCCGCTGTAGATGTGTGTGTGTGAATATATATATATATAACTGCACAGGTTTATGTGGTAGTCTGGTCTAGCCTCGTCACTACTTCGTCGGGGTTAGGCTATGCACTTACCAGCACATGGGGTCGGTTGTGCTGATTCTACACTCTGTGCTCTTTTTCACAGATCCAGGCGTCGGAGCAGCTTACGGTGCGCAGCAGTAGTCAGGGAGCCGACCTCCAGTCCACGAGACTCCGAGGTAGCCTTGCTGGCGTCCGCAGGCCCGGCGTCCCTTCTATCAGTTTTCATGTTCTGTTGACATTTGTATTCGAAACAGACTATGTCCTTTATTTCAAACTCTTATTTGTAGTAATCCTAGACAGTCCGTGTATTATTGTGACACCAGATGCTGGGTAGAGACTTGTATTGGCTTTCTAGATGCTGTTTCTATATTTAGTTCAGACTTCCGCTAAATTTTACTTTTCGCTGTCTCTTAACTGCTTATTCATTGATAATTTAATTGTTTAATCATGTATAAAACGAGATAGGTTAATGTGTGTAAAGGTTCTTGGCTTTCCTAGCTTCCACGAGTAGGCGCCATCACGACCCCCGAGGGTGGGAAATCCGGGTCGTGACATGATGACATGCTTATATTTGGTACAAGTTTAAATATTGTGCAAAGTACTAAATTATTTTTGTCTTCTAATTTTGATATGAAAGATCTGGGTGAAGTAAATATGATATTGGGAGTTAAAGTTATAAGGGTGAAGATGGCATAATGTTGTCGCAAGAACATTATATTGAGAGACTTCTTAAGAAGTTTGAATATTTTAATGTCACATCTGTGAGCACTCCTTTTGATGCTAACTCTCAGTTGAAAAGGAATAATGGTGACCCAGTTGCTCAGTCTAAATATGCTCAGATTTTTGGGAGTCTGATGCATTTAATGAATTTTACAAGGCCTGATATAGCCTATGCAGTGTGTAGACTGAGTAGATATACTCAAAATCCCAACAGAAAGCATTGGTCAGCATTAGATAGACTAATAAAATATTTGAGAGGAACCATGAATTATGGTATCCTATATAGTGGATTTCCTTCTATTTTAGAAGAGTACAACTGGATCTCTGATTCAGATGAAACAAAATCTACTAGTGGTTATGTATTCACCTTCGGTGGTGGTGCAATATCGTGGAAATAAGCTAAACAGACGATCATTGCTAGATCGACTATGGAATCAGAGTTTGTAGCTCCGGAGTTAGCTGGTTCATAGGCTGAGTGGCTAAGAAACTTCTTAGCTAATATCCCTTTAATAAAGGACGTATTGCCTCCTGTGTCTATACATTGTGATTGCCAGGCGGCAATAGCTATAGCAAAGAATAAATCATATAATTGTAAAAGTAGACACATGAAATTGAGACATGATGTCATAAAGCAGCTGCTGAAAGATGGAATAATTTTCATTGATTATGTGAGGTCAGAAGTTAATTTGGCCGATCCTCTGACTAAACCTGTGGGAAGAAAATTAATTCTTCAAACCTCAAAAGAGATGGGGTTAAGGCCGACATGTTATCAATAGAGATGGTAACCCAACCTATGTGATTGGAGATCCCATGAAGTAGGTTCATATGGGTAATAACAAGTCGATATTGGCACTGAAGTACTAAAAGAGAGTGCTTGACTGCTACTAATTGAGAGGCTGAGTTATAACTCTTAATGAAATTCATAGTCCTTATGGATGGTGTATTTAAAAGCAGTATACACTTGATGAATTCACCTATATGAGAGTGGAGTGGGCCGCTCCTATGAGATTTTGGCCTAGTCTCTAGAGCTCTCGTGAATAACCAGGCACGCGCATGGCCTATTGGGCGCAAAATCACGTTGAACAGCAAAATTACCGGGGGTCGAAATGTGATTGATAAAATCTCTTACTTACAATAAGAATTATTGGTTCATAGAAATATTATATTTCACTAGTAATTCTGTGAGTTAAACTTTATTGATCTAAGTTTGGTTCATAGTCCAAAAGACACCAAACCTATTGCATTTGGACCATACAAATTCAGCTAATCTTACTCCTCTTTGTATGAATTTTTTGAAAATATGTGGGGGAACTGTTGTGATATTTTCCAAAAATGGACAAATGTCCATCCATGTGGCAACTTGCATGGGAAGTTCCAAACAAGTGTCATACACTTGGCATGCCCTAAGCCTCTCAATTAGCCTATAAATAGGCCTTCAAAATAGCCATCATGCATCAGCACATTTTTTACTTTGCCTCTTTCGTTCCTTTTCTTCCTCCTTAAAACATTTATAGTCTACTTTGTTTTGTTCCCTCTTTTAAATAGTTGGGCTTGTAATATCTGATTTTGCTGATTCCTGTATCCTTTAAACAAATAGAGATGGGCTTGTTTAATCCTGGGGAAAATTTCACATTGCTGAAATAGTTTCTTAGGACAGTGCCTAGCACGACTCAAGCCAATTCATGTATATGCTTACAAATAATATTATTGCAATATTATTATTGTTATTTTTCGGTGTCATTTCCCTAAGCTTTTAGGTCATATTTTAACACAAAACACAACAACATATGTTGTTGGAAACAGCCACGATTCAACAATTCACTCTAAAGTTTAATACTCTAAGATGCCACAATTATTAACTAAATATCATGGGAAAAAATCATTCTTCATAACAAAACGCGGAAGAATTATAAAATATTAAAGGAGAAGATGTATGATTTACAAACGAAAGAGCTCTCTCACCCCAAATCAGATTTATTCTAACAAATTGTTTTCTACGGTAGAATAGTTACCTAGAATCAGATTTATTCTAACTATGGCAGAACAATTGCAACTTGTTTTTTTGTTTCAAAAAAGGAGAACAATAGCAGCTTGGTCTCGAAAGGGGTCGGGAAAAAGATGAAAAATGGAGTTATGGAAAAGATTAGGCGTAATGTTTTAGTAACGATATTTTAGGAATTATAAAAAGGTTACTGATGATAAAATAGCAAAAATTTTGGTCAAATCAAAAGCACTTATAAGCTAAAAAGGCATAAGTTGGGGGTGACTAACTTATGATTTTTGACTGATTTTGGTTTATAAGCACTTATCTTATAAGTATTTTTAATGTTACCAAGCGCGTAGATAAGGCAAAAATGTTTATAAACTAGTTTAACCAGCTTATAAACTTAGCCAAACACATCTAAGACCCTTTCGGCCAAATCAGAAGTAGAGGCAATTGGGTCTAGAGCAATAAAATATTTAAATGATATATCTAAGTTAAATATAATTATTTTTTCCTAACAAAATACTAAATGAATTTATATAGTAAGTCGAATAATTGTACCAAATCAAATAAAAAATGTGTTATACCTAAGGAGATGAGGGGCGTAATATGCACTCTTATTAAAGGCGACGTGGGTGAAGAAGTTAGTTGACGAAAACCTTGGAAATGTGGCGCACATGCACTATGCCCATTCTAATATGCAAATGGTGGATTTATTAGGTCGGTCGAGGCTGTAGCACATGCCTTCTAACTCTACTTGTGTTTAACCAAAAAACCGAATATTTGGTTAAAACTAAAATTTAATAGAGAAATCGGGTTACTGATAATCAAAAAATAAGAGATTTTTTGAACAACAATAAAGCAATGAATAAGAGTATATTTCAGTATAATCGGAATGATATTTCGTGTCCTACAGATGTTGTGACTTTCTCCTTTTATAGTCAATTCTAAGAGAAAGTGTAATACCTTTGTCTTAATGAGGCAATTACGAGCAGTAAATGACATTAAAAGAAACGTTATTCAATCATTCTTATTAAATACAAATTCTCTAACGTATTTGGCATTTAATGTTGAATTTGGACTCTTTTACGCTATCAGATTCATATCTTCAATTCCTTCTGATCTTCGAGCTTTAAATGGCTCGAACAGGTACGAGTCTCGTCTCATCTGGATAGTAGCTCATACCTTTAAGTATCTTCTCTCCCGCATCTATTGTTACTCGTGTCTTCTAACTGTTTGTCATGCTTTGACTATTTGACCGGTCTACGTGTCATGACATGTCATCTTCAATATTTAAATTCAGTTTTTTCCCAATACAGATAGTCCCACCACTTTCCATTTATTTATCAATTAAATATTTGGGAAGTGGATCTTTATTAAAAAGGGAATTTTTGCCATAATTAATGCTATGACAGTACTAACGCTTCAGTTGTCTTTTCTATTTAATGCATCGCACACGTGTTTCCTTCTCATTAGCTCTGTAATTCTGCAGCCTTTTTTCAAGGCTTCTTCAACTCCACTATTCACGAAGTGATAGTTGCCTTTATTATAGGCTTTCCATCATTACACTTCTTAATCTTTGACGGTTGCTTTTATATAAACTTAATCCTCCTTCCACAATTTTTTACCTAATATTTCACTATTTACTTCTATTCACTTCTTCCTCTGTTCACGCCTTTCTACCATGTCATCTTCAAATCCCAACCCTAGAAGAGTCCCAATTCTTCACAGTTTCCCCAATGCCCCTGTGAGACATAGAAGGGGTAGAGGGGGTAGACTTCGTGGCCTTGGATCCATTCGTGGTGGTACCTCTGGTTCCATCACTCCTTCTTCTAGCTCTGGTATTACTTCTAGAGGTTCTTTCATTAATAGATCTTCCTCTAAAGGCAAAGAATCTTCTGAGTCGATGCAAGAACCTTTGGTCGAAGAAATAGTGCCAACTGATTTATCTTTCGAGCATGATAAAGAATCCCTTCGTGACCAAGTAATTAAATTAGAGAGAGCTGACACTTATCCTTCTTTAATTACTGAACCCTTAATTTCCACTGTTCGAAAAGATTGTCGTTGGAGAGATGACCTTCATATAGTTATTCCTAACCCAAACCAGAGAATATCTTCTTATAGGATTGGTTTTTCCTCTGTTTATACTTATCCCTTTACTTTGGGATTTATTCCTGCTATCGACTCAGTCATACTCGATTTTTGTCGTTTTTTCAAAATTTGTTTGGCTCAAATTGGCCCTCTCGTATGGAGAGCAGTAGCTTGTTTAAGGTATGTATCGGTAAAGGCTGATGTCGATTTTACCTTCTCTCATCTGATTCATCTTTACCACCCCAAGCTGTTTCGCAATGGTGTTTTTACCCTAACCGCAAGAAGTAAAAGGGTTTTGGTAAGCCCTGAAGATGATAAAGATCGAGGCTGGTACACCCGTTATGTTGCGGTACCCACGGTTGATTTGGTGGGTGAATCAAATATTCCTTTCCCTGAGAAATGGAACCTTGCACGTAAGTATTTCTTTCTTGCCGTGTTTGTTTTATTTCAACTCCTTTTCTAATTTCATTCTTTTTTGCTTTTTTGTAGCAACCATGGGAGATGTGGAACCCGTTCCTAATTTCCGTGGTTGGGTAGATGCTATTTTGAAGGCCGTGCCTATGGAGGCACGAACCTGGAAATCTATTTCTAACAAACATGGTTGGAAAGTAAAAACTCACGGTATGCGTCTCTTATTGTTTCCCGTATGTTAAATTCTTTCCCCTCTTCTAACTTTTTATCCTTCTTTCTGTCAGGATTTGCTATTCGAGGAATGTCAGCTGAAGTAGCTATTGCCCTTCGAGCTTCTTTTGGTACTCCTCTTTCTTTGGAGAGAGCACAAGCTACGCTGTCAAAGAGGAAAGTTGTTGAAGAGGATTCCGAGGATGATGAAGATGAAGACACCTCTTTGGCAGTTAGACCTAGAGTCAGGAGACGTATCATTTCTGAAGATGAAGCTGAAATTTCTCCTACCCGTGCCTCCTCTCCGGTTAATATTGTTTCCGATGATGAAACCATCCCCAGGGACACCATTGAATCCACTCAACGTCTCTTCACTGAGGGTTTCGAAAGTGGTGATCTAGGTCCGGTTTTAGATGAGGTTCCTCTTTCCTCTTCCATTCCTATTCCTTCTATTCCTTCTTTAGTTTCAAGTACATCTTTGCCCATTTTATCTGTTCCTGCTTCTTTGTCAATTTCTGCTCCTTTACCTGCTTCGACTCCCTCGACTCCTGTTATTTTCACCTCTTCTACCGTTCCTCCTTCTATAGCTCCCCCTTCCTCTGTTCAGCATGCAGAGGAGGGTTCTAGTAGCAGAAGTTTAGCTATGAGGAGTGTAACACTTGAGGTTCCTGCTACTAACAGTCTTTTAAGGAAGTCTGGTGGAGCAGATGTCTGGCTTAAGCCTTTAATTGGAGATATTGAGAAGAAAAAGATGGACAGTCACAGTTGCTTAACTTTGATGAATGACATAGTTCATTCTACGTTGAAGGTATTCTCCCTTTACTTTCTAATAATTTTTTTTTTATTATTTCTAGATTCTTATCTTCATGAGTTGTCTTTGTAGGCCAACCTTATTGGTACGGAGTTGATGGGAAGAATTTCCCTTTTAGAAAAGAAGGCTCGTGAATCTGATAAGACTATTCTCGAGGCTGAGAGGGTAGCTAAGGAAGCCCAGCTGGAGGCAACTAATTGGAAGGAACAGTTTAAAAATGCTCAAGACACGATAAAAGAATTGCAAGAAAGCAACTGTAACCTGGAGCAGCAAAAGCGGACTCTGACTTCGGATTTAGCGAAGGCCAAGGCTTCTTCTAGTAAAGCCGAGAAGGACAAGGAGCGCCTCGAGTGTTCCTTTTCAGAGCAATTATCAAAGTCAAGTGAAGAAATCAGAGAACTTAAAGCACTCTTGAACAAGAAAGAAGAATATGCAGGAGAGTTAGTACAAAACTTGACTCAAGCTCAAGCTGATTTGAAGATCTCCTCTGATAAGGTTCATGCATTGGAGAGTTCTCATGCCTCCCTTGAAGCCACCCTTGATTCCACTTTAGCTGAAAATCAAGTGTTAAAGAATGATCTTGCTATGTGGGAAAGGGATTATGAGCTTCTTGAGGAGAATTTTAATATAGAAGTGAGTTGGGCTTTTCTAAACTCTCGTCGTGATGCTTTAACTGAGGCCAGACAAGAAAACTTTGATTTAGAATCGGAATTGGCCAAGGTTTTGAAAACCATTGAGATGACCCAACAACCACTTGACTTTCCTTCTCCGGCAGATGAAGCTCCCGTGACTGAAGAACCTTTAAATGAAGAAGCTGCTGCTGTGACAATTGAAGTTGAAAATGTTGCTATTCCAGCTCCCGAGGGTGAAACTTCTATGAATCGGTTTGAGGAAGCTGACGCTTCCGTGGCTCTTGCTCCCCTCGAAGAATCTACCATTTCAATCCCAGCTGAAACCGCTTCTGTTGCTGTTTCTTCAGAAGTTACCGTTCCTGAAAGTGAAGCTGATATCACAACTTCTGATGCTCCAGCCCCTCAGTGACCAGTTTATGTTTTAAAACTTTATTTTTATTTGCTTTGTTGATTGGTGGAAAAAGTCCCCAGTTATCATAATGGGGCACTTGTTGACTAAGTTTTTACTTAGTCTTTTTAACTATATAAAGAAGTTTATTAGTACTTCAAAATGTTCTATTCTTGCCTTTTTCTTATCTATTTAGGACTTATAGAATAGTTTAGCATTTTTTAAACTTTGAAAATGCTTTATGATCCTTCTCATGACTTATTAACATGAGGCTTATAAAAGAGGGCCCTTTTATATATATCGACACTTAATGAAGAAGACGTCTCAACTTCATAATGGTGTTACAATACGATGAAAGAAATAGGAACACACATGTTTCGCTTGGAACCACTTTGACAAGTTTTTATTCACGAACTTTGACAAGCTTTTGAATATTACATGTATTAAAATACATCTATAACTTTCTCGTAACTGTTTTTCTTGTAACAGATTTTTGCAAAATAAATATAATTCTAACAAGGTTTTTTCTTATAACCCGTTTCAGTATATCGTCATGACCCTATCTTCATGTACTAGGAAGGGTTTGAGAGGTGACTCCATTGTTCCCATGAGTTCGAGCACTATGATGAATGTTTTATATCCTCATTTGTTTTGATGGGAAAGAACACAATGATAAATGTTGAGGTTCCGTAGCTCCTGCTCGACACTTGTCTCTTTGTTTTTCAACTTTCATCTACATATCTGTTTTCCCGCACGTATCTGTGTACAATATGTAGTCCCCCAAGTGTTTGAGCGGTGAAGTATGAAGCCTCGAGCACTTGGTAATCTTCTTCACCTGGTCCTTTTCCTGAAAAGGAAATATATACGGGACTCGAGGGTGCGATTATAGATGAAGACTGCTTAACCCGTGTATACTTCTATCAGAATAATTGTAACCCTGGGCTAGGAATTTTAGTTTATTCCCTTTTGCCTTACAGGTCGTGACTCATCATTTAGTACGGGTTAGCGTTTTGCCTATCATCTAAAATCGTTAGTAAAATTTTAACAATTCAAAAAATAAATAATTTAACATGGTGATACCTGACCGTGGGTTTTTCCTTAGAAGTAGTATCTCTTCAAATGAACTGCATTCCAATGTGAGGGAAGCACCTTCCCGTCCATTGTTTCTAATTCGTATGCTCCTTTTCCTGCAATGTCCCGAACTCTGTAGGGTCCCTCCCAGGTTGGACTTAGTTTACCCGCGTTGGCTGCCTTTGTAGATTGAAAAACCCTTTTAAGCACGAAGTCCCCAGTTTTGAAGTATCGCAATCGTGCTTTCCTGTTGTAATATCGTTCGATCACTTGCTTTTGTGCTGCCATCCTTATTAATGCGGCTTCTCTTCTTCCTTCGAGCAAATCAAGGTTTACCCGCATTTCTTCACCATTTGATTCTTCCGTTGCCTGAGCATATCGTGTGCTCGGTTCTCCTATTTCAACTGGGATTAAGGCTTCTGCACCATAAACCATTGAAAATGGTGTTTCTCCCGTGCTTGTTTTTGTCGTTGTACGATAAGCCCATAATACTCCAGGTAATACCTCAGGCCAATTACCTTTTGAATCTTGTAACCTTTTCTTCAAGTTGTTAATAATGACCTTGTTCGTTGATTCTGCTTGCCCATTGCCTACTGGGTGATAAGGTGTAGATGTGATTCTTTTAATTTGCCAGCTCTCAAAAAACTCAGTGACTTGAGCTCCGATAAATTGAGGGCCATTGTCGCAAACAATCTCCTTTGGCACACCAAATCGACATATGATATTACGCCAAATGAAGTCTTTGACCTCCTTTTCTCGTACCTGTTTAAATGCTCCCGCTTCTACCCATTTAGTGAAATAATCAGTAAGTACAAGTAGAAACTTCACCTGACCTTTTGCTTGTGGTAATGGACCTACGATATCCATCCCCCATTTCATAAAGGGCCACGGAGCTATGACGGGATGCAGTAACTCAGCTGGTCTATGCATATTATTCCCGTACCTTTGACATTTATCACATTTATACACGAAACTGTTTGCTTCCTCTTCCATCTTAGGCCAATAATACCCAGCTCGAATCAATGTTTTTACCAACGACCTTCCTCCCGCATGATTTATACAATGTCCTTCATGTATTTCTCTCATTACATATTCTGTTTGGGAAGGTCCAAGACACCTTGCTAATGGTCCACCGAACATCTTTCGATAAAGGTTCCCTTGATATAAACAGTAACGAGCAGCCTTTTTACGAAGCGCGTGTGCCTTCCTTTTGTCATCAGGTACGGTTCCATACTGCAGAAAAGCAACAATCTCGTTTCTCCAATCCCAGGTTAAATTATTAAAATTTATCTCATTCTTATCAGGCTCGAGAATGGAATGAAATAAATGTACAACTGAAGCATTTGCATCTTTTGCCACGTATGCTGCAGATGCGAGATTGGCTAAAGCATCTGCCTCTAAATTCTCATCTCTTGGTATCTGCACAACTTTCCACGTCTGAAACTGCTTTATAATTCACGTACTTTCCTAAGTATTCTTGCATTTGTGTATTCCCTGGTCCGCATAAGTCCCCAGCATCTGGTTAACAACAAGTTGTGAATCACTCTTGATTATAATCTGGGTTATGCCAAGTTCCCGAGCCAATTCCAAACCTGCAATGACAGCTTCATACTGTGTTTCATTGTT